ACAGATGACTCCTGCATGGGACACTCCTATGGTCATGCCCAGTTAAGCCAGAGTCTAGAGACCAGCTTTAACTTCAGGCTGTCCTCACATTAGGAAAAGTACCCTGGGCTGCTGGGGTATTGAAATGATGCATGGCAACTGTAGCTGTGCTACTTTGAGAAACTGCTCCCTGACCGCAATACCTTTTGGTGGAAACCCATTCTTGATCTGGCATATGTTGGATAACCTGTTAGGACGTGGGAAGAAAATAGGAAACTTGGCTGGGCATGGTGGCTCATGCCTGTAATCCTAGCACTCTGGGAAGCCGAGGTGGGAGAATCACTTGAGCTCAGGAGTTTGAGACCAGACTAAGCAAGAGCGAGACCCCGTCTGTACTAAAATTAGAAAAATTAGCTGGGCTGTGTTAATAGCCTGTAGTCTTAGCTACTTGCTTGAGCCTAGGAGTTTGAGGTTGCAGTGAGCTATGATCATGCTACTACACTCTAGCCAGGGTGACAGCAAGACTCTGTCTCAAAAAAAAAAGTTTCTACTTACATGCATTTTAAAAACTAAAAATAAGGAAGAAGTTAGCCTTCCTAACATTATTATGTTGGTCAATGAATGCTGGCATTCTCACGCCCCGTGTCACACACCACATGGGTGACTTCCTGAGAATGGACAGAGTGGACCCAGCACAGAGGGGTTGAAAGTGGCCCTTGCTTATTTGTTCACTTCTAATGTGCTGTGACGATTGTCCTCCAAGGTTATGGAGTTAGCAAGTAGAAAAACCAGGATTTGAGATCTGCCTGACAAGTCCCATAAATTAAAACAGCAAGAAAAATGCAGAGCTGACAGTCCTTGTACAGTAAGGACTCTTCAGAGCCACATTATGAGATCAAACGATGATCTAATCAGACCTGACAAGATGACACAGCATTGAAATTATCAAGAAGTCTAGATTGAATACGGATTTATATTTATCTCTCTCTAGTGATACTAAACTCCTCCCTAAGTGCAAGTGGTGCATTCAGATATAAACTAATGACATGAAGCCGCATGGATTTAAAAACTAAGCATTCAGTCCATGCTGACAAACCACTTTTTAAAAGCAATGTTTGAAATCGTGGGGTTCTGAATTCAAAACCTCACAAAATTTCACTACACTTAATGATAAATGTTTACAGGCTCTCTTCTTTTTCTTTTTCTTCTTTTTTTCTTTTAGGTTTTTTACTAGCAGAGGCAAAGAGCCACATGCCATAATGACTAAAATAAAACTAGGGAAATCACACAGCAACGAAAGGAATAGGTACCTACCTGTACACACTGTTGGAAAATGCATAGAAAACACTGGCAAGTATTGAACAAATTATGAAGTATTGGGAAGCTGGATAAAATATAGTTAAAAAAGGGTCTTGGCCCATAGTATTTGTTGGATTGTTTCAGTTATGAAATTTACATAGAATTGCTGTGTGTATGTACCACTGAAGAAAGAAAAATACATCAGTGAAGATATATTGCCAACAGAAAATTACTTCTTTAATAAAAACAGTGCTTTGGAAAAATCATGGATCACTAATCACTAATAAAGTTACTGCTTTGACTAGAAAAAAGATTCCTGGGTAAAAATACAAATATAGCACCATAATGAAATTCTTTTGCAGTATACATTTATTGGCGAGCTATTGCAGCAAAGCCAAAAGTGCATAATCTGTGATAGGATATCATCAATGTGGTTATTGTTACAAAAACAAAACTTTTAAGCATAACAGAACTCTTACAACATTTTGCAATAAGATGGGAACCTCTAAAAAGCATTTTGGCAATGTGCTATAAGACCCATCAAGCTTGAAGATGAATTATGCATTTTTTGATCAATGGACAAACTTGTTTCAAACTTGCTGAAATTTTTTGTTACGACAACTGGATGTCAGTGACATGTTACCTCATAAATATTAAATATTTTAGAAAAAATAAGCTTACTTTATAGTAAAGGAGAAATAATTGCTTTTTAAAAATGTACAATGTGGAGCATGAAGGTGATTTTTAAAAATGAGGGTTAGGGAGAAAGTTGGATTTTGAAAACAGATGTTTGGAAATGTTCCTGTTATGTGAAATTGCAGCTGAAAATGATGAGCTCAAGTATAAAAACTTTCACATCTGTGTACATTAAAAAAAACAACCCTTGGAAGTAGACTTTTAAAACTTGCTGTTAAAATTTGAAAATGAAGAGCACTGGGGTTTGAACCCATTTTCAAAAAAATGCAAGACCTTTCAATTAGCTTGCCCCAGCCCAAAAAAGATTGACATCAAGGAGAAGGATAATGTATTAGTGACATTTCAAAAAAAAAAATATCTTTGTATAGTTGAATGAGAATTGTGACTTAATTGACATAAGCAACAAGGTATATCTTCCATTTGGAGCTACCCATCTTTGTAAGGAATCTTTTCAACTATGACAATCTTTGATATCAAGTTTAGAAGTAAAACTAATGAAGTTTAAAATCAAGGTTTTAAAAATAATGAAAGATATTCAATCAAAATACTCTCCCTCAAAATATTATTACTCTTTTAGCAAGAGCAACATGCTCATTTTGTCTTTCTCGTGTTCTTTAAAAATTTCTATTTTTGTGATTGCTTTGTGATTTATATTGTATGCTAGTACAGTAATACCTGCACACAGTTGGTTCTCTATATCCGTGGATTCTACATTTGTGGATTCAACCAATCTGGAATTAAAAATATTTGGAAAAAATTGCATCTGTACTGAACATGTACAGAGGTTTTATTGTCATTTTCTACATAGTACAGTGTAATAACTACTTATATAGCATTTACACTGTATTAGGTGTTATAAGTAATCCAGAGCTGACTTAGAGTATATGGAAGGATGTGTGTAGATTATATGCAAATACGATGCCACTTTATATCAGTGACTTGAGCCCCTGTGGATTTTGGTGCCTGAGGGGGATCCTGGAACCAATTCTCCATGGATATTGAGGGATGATGTATATAACATCTATAAATAAGCACCCTATATTGGGGTGCATATGTTAACATTTTTTTGCTGGTATATGTACATCATCAAAGTGGAGGTCCCTACAGTAGCCTGTGTCTTCCCCATTGGTTTTCCTCATGGCCCGCACAGAGCACATAAGGCTGAACTGCCTCGCTGACCTGCAGCCTGAAGGAATGGACATGCACGTTGGTAAAGGTGTTTTCTGGCATAGGAACAACATAAATATCAACTCAGGAAAAAAGCACTGAATAAATAAGCGTTTGGCAAAGCAACAGAAGCAATCAAATAAAACATGAAGATTGGAGTCTCGTGTGAATAACACGAATGATATCTAAAGTTACTGAGCGCTCACTGTGTGCGGGGCAGAGCCCTGGGCTTCAACCAGGGGCCTCCGCACCTTCTCACAGCAGCCTTAGAGATGCACGTCAGGCTGGGATGTCAGTGGGTTTTGGTTTCACAGGCGTCTGTGATGCCTTCTGGAAGGAGGGCTGCCCTGGGGACAGTTTGGGAAACTGCATATGTTCACTTGTCTCCCCAGGAGATTTCAGGCCCAAAGAGATCCTAATCATGTGCCCTCCTGTGTAAAATGAGTTACAAAAATAGAACTGGAAAAAAAAGTAATTGAGCCTCCATATATAATGACGTTATCATTGATCTGCTGGTCACGGGAGGGATGCTCTGAGCTGTTTTCCCAGCAAATGGAAAAAACCAAGCTGCCCTGCAGACCTCCCTTCTGGGCAGGGCACCCTGGCCTCTGCTGCAGAACCCAGGGCACCTTCCTCTCTGGGCGATTGACACCCTCAGTCTGCTCTCTTTTTCTGCCCACAGTCAGGGGACAGAGGTGCTGTGACAGCGGTCACTGTAGCTTTGGAGAGTGCAGAGCACTAAATGGTCTAGGCAGGGCCAGCTTTGTGGGTGTGTGACCTGTGGGTCACACACAGCCCATGTTCAGACGGGCCTCGTGCTTGGTTCAATGTTTTGCTATCGCTCTCTTAAAATCCGTAATCATCTTTCAACAAAGGGCCTTATATTTTAATTTTGCACTGGACCCTGCGAGTTATGTAGCTGGTCCTGGGTCTCGGCCAGGATGGGGTAGACCCAGGGGCCTGGGTTGGGGGACTTTCTCCAGCTGGCAGTGCACCCCAGGCCCATTGCCACCTTTGAAATCAAGTCTAGAAATAAACTTAACCTCAAACCAGACTTCAAATTATTGTATTACAAAGTCTCCCCTTGGGCAGAGTAGACAAAGAAGGCAGCTGCCTCCCAGGATGATCTGGGAGGTGGGAGCCTGCCCTCTCTTTATTCCTGGACCCTGAGGTGCTCCCCAAGTTTAGGGCCCACCCAAGATGCACATGGAGGTTGTAACATCAGCCTCTTTCATTGGCCTGTTGGGACATTAGTAAAGACATGATTTAAAATTGAATTTTAGCAGTGTTAAGAGAACAGTCAGAGGCATGCCCTGTGACCACCCCGCCTACCATGAATGTGGGTTGACCCTACCCTTGACTCTACCCCTTACCCCTAACCCTGGGTTGCTGCTGCCTCAGTTGTTCCACCCAATAGAGGGGGGCCAAGCCTTTGCTAGAAACATAGGCCAATAATTTTATTCTAGGCCAAGGTTAAAAGCATATGAAGAACAAGGCTAAGCAATGCACTGTGGAGGGTGGGCCTGGCAGGCCTAACGCACAGGCTTTAGCCCAGGATTACAGACAGAGAATCAGGACTACAGCTCCCATTTACCAAGCACCTGCTCTGTGCCAGACCTTTTCATATAATTTCTCATTTAATCCACAAACAGTCTTTTAAGTAGGCATCATTCCATTTTATTACAGTTGAAGAAATAGGGTCATTCCTAATGACTCAGGATTAGAAACCCTTTTTGCTTCTAATTCTGAATTCACCTGTTTTCTGGGAAGTGTGGGTTCTTCAATCATAGAGCCTGATTGTGCTTGAGATTTTAATTGATCATGAAATATAAAATTCAGATGACTAAAACTGTCCATATGGAATATTTAGGGGCTGCCTCCCTCTCCTCTCCTCCGTCCTCCTCACTTCCTTTTCTGTGCCTGTTCCCCCAGGACTGCGCGAGTTTGTTTTGACAGTAGCATGCTTGTCGCTGAATCGTGCAGCCAGGGAGCCATAGGGTTGGACTAGGACTCCCCAGGAGGGCAGAGAGGCCCTTGGTTTGTCACAGTGCCAGCTGCCAGGACAGTGGAATGAGCTCAGTGATGAGTCGTCTGAACATTGCACAGAGATACAGGGGTGCGCAATTGAGTGGCCTCCTTTTGCTGAGCCCTGGCAAGCTGAAATGTTTTGCTAATAGATACTAAACTGGTTAATGTCCTATCGGGTCACAGAACTGTAACCTTGATGCTATCTTTTTTGCCAGTCAGAAATCCACAAGTCAACATAACTTCGTTGTGTCTGAGCTCGAATCAAACAGTAGTAAATGGCAAAGTCAAACACAGGTGCAGCCTAGATTACTCAGTGTACTCAGATGAACTTACTAGACAACAACACTGACAGGATGAGCGGTCATTTATTTCCAAGTTTGGGATGTTTTCTTCTTAACAATACAGTAGTCCCCCCTTATCCATGGTTTCAGTTACTCAGGGTTAGAAGGTCAGTGGTAGCTTAACGCTATGTCACAATGTCTGTGTCATTCACCTTCGGCTCATCATGTAGGCATTGTGTCACCTCGTATCTTCACAGGAGGAAGAAAGGTGAGTACGGTAAGAGACCACATTCATATGTTCATAACTTTTATTACAGTATATTGTTATAATTGTTTTATTGTTGTTAATCTCTTACTGTGCCTAATTTACAAATTAGCTATGTATATAAGAAAAATCATAGTATATTACAGGGTTCAGTACTATATATAGTACATGTAGGGTCTGTGGTTTCAGGCATCTACTGGGGGATCTTGGGATGTATCCCCTGTGAATAAGGGGGGCATACTGTACTTTGCTTATCTTACAAGTTTGTGTAGATCAAATGGCAGTGTATTAAAGTGATTTGTAAACTATAAGGTGCCAAATATATTTTAACAATTATGGTCATTTTACAAAGCCCCTGAATCATATGGTATCAGAATTAGTACAGATATATGAAGGAGGGAAGGAGCTAATTACTTAATAACTATTTCTTTAACTATCATTTTTATCTCATTTAATCCTTTCTTTTTATTTCAGTAGATTTAGGGGATATGAGTGTTTTTTGTTACATGGATGAATTGTATAATGCTGAAGTCAGGATTTTCAGTGTACGATACACCGTATCCAATAGGTAGATTTTTATCCCTTATCCCCCTCCTAACCTCCCCTGTTCTTAGTTTTCAGTGTCCATTACCCTGCCTTATGACTATATATATTCCTTGTGTAGCTCCCACTTTTAAGTGAGAGCATGTGGTATTAGTTTTTCCAATCCCGAGATACTTCACTTAGGATAATGGTCTCTGCCCAAATTGTTGCAAAAGATATTATTTCATTCCTTTTTATGGCTGAATAGTACTCTATGGGCTAAATAGTACACCACATTTTCTTTACCCACTCATCAGTTGATGGGCACTTAGGTTGATTCCATATCTTTGCAATTGTGAATTGTGCTACAATAAACAGTCAGGTGCCGGCGTCTTTTCTATAAAAATGACTTCTTTTCCTTTGGGCAGATATCCAAGTAGCGGGATTGCTGAATCAAATGGTAGTCAACTTTTAATTCTTTGAGCAATCTCCATACTGTTTTCCAGAGAGGTTGTACTAGTTTGCATTCCCACCAACAGTGTATAAGCATTCCCTTTTCACCGCATCTGCGCCAACATCTGTTATTTGACTTTTTTTTATTTTAGCATATTATGGGGGTACAAGGTAGGTTACTTATATTGCCCATGCCCCCCTCCCCCCTCGAGTAAGAGCTTCAAGCATGTCCATCCCCCAAACGTTGGACATCTTATTCGTTGTGGTTGTATAAACCCCTTCTCTCCTCCCCCCTCCCACCCTCCTGACACCCGATAAATGTTTTTCCTATATGTCCACTTAGGTGTTGATCTGTTAATACCAATTTGCTGGTGAGTACATGGGGTGCTGGTTTTTCCATTCTTGAGATACTTCACTTAGCAGAATGGGTTCCAGCTATATCCAGGAATATACAAGAGGTGCTATATCACCATTGTTTCTTAAAGCTGAGTAGTACTCCATGGTATACATATACCACATTTTATTAATCCACTCATGAATTGATGGGCACTTGGGTTGTTTCCATAGCTTTGCAATTGTGAATTGTGCTTCTATAAACATTCGAGTGCAGGTGTCTTTTTCATAAAGTGACTTTTGATCTTTTGGGTAAATGCCCAGTAGTGGAATTGCTGGATCAAATGGTAGATCTACTCGTATCACTTTGAGGTGTCTCCATATTGCTTTCCACAGAGGTTGAACTAGTTTGCAGTCCCACCAGCAGTGTAGGAGTGTTCCTCTCTCTCTGCATCCACACCAGCATTTGTTGTTTGGGAACTTTTTGATAAAGGCCATTCTCACTGGAGTTAAGTGATATCTCATTGTGGTTTTGATTTGCATTTCCCTGGTGATTAGAGATGTTGAACATTTTTTCATATGTTTGTTGGCCATTATTCTGACTTCTTTTGAGAAGTTTCTGTTCATGTCCTTTGCCCTTTTTTTGATAGGGTTATTTGATTTTTTCTTGCTGATTTTCCTGAGTTCTGAATAGATTCTAGTTATCAGCCCTTTATCGGATGTGTAGCTTGCAAAATTTTTCTCCCATACTGTGGGTTGTCTGTTTGCTCTCTTGACAGTTTCTTTGGCCGTGCAGAAGCTTTTTAATTTCGTTAGGTCCCATTTGTTTATTTTTGTTGCTGTTGTGGTTGCCTTTGGGGTCTTCTTCATAAATTCGTTGCCTAGGCCAATGTCTAGAAGAATATTACCAATGTTTTCCTCTAGAATTCTAATAGTTTCACATCTAAGGTTCAAGTCTGTTACCCAGCCTGAGTTGATCTTTGTGAGCGGTGAAAGGTGTGGGTCTTGTTTCAGTCTTCTACATGTGGCTATCCAGTTTTCCCAGCACCATTTATTGAATAAGGACTCTTCCCCAGTGTATGTTTTTGTCTGTTTTGTCAAAGATTAGTTGGCTATATGAGGATGGTTTTATATCTGGGTTCTCTGTTCTGTTCCTGGTCAATGTCTCTGTTCTTGTGCCAGTAAAAAGCTGTTTTAATGACTATAGCCTTGTAGTATAGTTTGAAGTCTGGTAAATTGATACCTCCTATTTTGTTTTTATTGCCTAGGATTGATTTTGCTATACGGGGTCTTCTCTGGTTCCATATGAAGCATAAAATTATTTTTTCTATATCTGTGAAAAACCCACAGCCAATATCATACTGAATGGGGAAAAATTGAAAGCATTCCCACTTAGAACTGGAACAAGACAAGGTTTCCCAGTATCTCCACTTCTGTTCAACATAGTGCTGGAAGTCCTTGCTACAGCAAGCAGACAAGAGAGATGTATTAAGGGCATCCAAATGAGAGCAGAAGAGATCAAACTCTCACTCTTCACTGATGACATGATATTATACCTAGAAAACCCCAAGGATTCAACCATGAGACTCCTTGATAAATGATACTCCTGATAAATGATAAATGAGACTCCTGATAAATGAATTTGGTAAAGTCTCAGGATACAAAATCAATATACAAAAATCAGAGGCGTTCATATACGCCAAAAACAGTAAAAGTGAGAACCAAATCAAAGACTCAATTCCCTTCAAAATAGCAACAAAGAAAATAAAGTACCTTGGAATATATTTAACTAAGGAGGTAAAAGACCTCTACAGGGAGAACTATGAAACACTGAAGAAGGAAATAGCAGAGGATGTAAACAGATGGAAGAATATACCATGCTCATGGGTCAGCAGAATCAACATTGTTAAAATGTCTATACTACCCAAAGTTACCTACAGAGTCAATGTTTGACTTTTTAATAATGTCAAATCTGACGGGTAAGGTGGTATCTCATTATAGTTTTAATTTGCATTTCCCTGATAATTAGTCATGTTGAACATTTTTTCATATATTTGGCCATTTGTTTATCTTTTGAAAAAAATCTGTTTATATCTTTTGCCCACTTTTTGATGGGGTTGTTATTTTCTTGCTGATTTGAGTTCTTTGTAGATTCTGGATATTAGCCCTTTGTTGGATGTATAGTTTGTGAAAATTTTCTCCCATTCTGTAGGTTGTCTATTTACTCTATTGATTATTTCTTTTGCTGTGGAGAAAATTTTTAGTTTAATTAAGTCCCATTTATTTATTTTTGTTATTGCTGTATTTGCTTTTGGGGTCTTAGTCATAAATTCTTTGCCTAGGCCAATGTCCAGAAAAGTTTTTTCTATGATTTCTTCTAGAATTTTTATGGTTTCAGGTCTTACATTTAAGTTTTTAATCCATCTTCAGTTTATTTTTGTATATGGTAAGAGATGGGGATCCAGTTTCATTCTTCTGCATCTGGCTCTCCAGTTTTCCCAGCACCATTTATTGAATAGGGGGTCCTTTCCTCAGTGGGTGTTTTTGTTTGCTTTGTCAAAAATAGGTTGTAGCTATATGGTTTTATTTCTGGGTTTTCTATTCTACCTTTATACCAGTACCATGCTGTTTTGGTTACTTGTAGCCTTGGAGTATAATTTGAAGTCAGGTCCTGTGCTGCCTCTAGATTTGTTCTTCTTGCTTAGGATTGCTTTGGCTATTCAGGTTCGTTTTGGTTCCATATGGAATTTAGGATTTTTTCTGGATCTGTGAAAAATGACATTGGTATTTTTGATGGGAATTGCATTGAGTCTGTAAATCACTTTGAACACTATGGGCACTTTTAATAATGTTGATTCTTCCAATTCATGTACATGAGATATTTTTCCATTTGTTTGTGTCATCTATGATTTCTTTCATCAGTATTTTGTAGTTATCCTTGTACAGATCCTTCATCTACTTGGTTAAGTATACTCCTAGGTATTTTATTTTCTTTGTAGCTATTGTAATTGAATTCTTTTTTTTTTTTTTTTGAGACAGAGTCTCACTTTGTTGTCCAGGCTAGAGTGAGTGCCGTGGCGTCAGCCTAGCTCACAGCAACCTCAAACTCCTGGGCTCAAGCGATCCTCCTGCCTCAGCCTCCCGAGTAGCTGGGACTACAGGCATGCGCCACCATGCCCGGCTAATTTTTTATATATATATCAGTTGGCCAATTAATTTCTTTCTATTTATAGTAGAGACGGGGTCTCGCTCTTGCTCAGGCTGGTATTGAACTCCTGACCTTGAGCAATCCGCCCGCCTCGGCCTCCCAAGAGCTAGGATTACAGGCGTGAGCCACAGCGCCCGGCCTCTTTTTACTTTTTAGAGGTGCCTTCCTCTACTCTGAAGGAATATAATTGAGTTCTTTATTTGACTCTCAGCTTGACTGTTAGAAGTATATAGAAATGCTACTGATTTGTGTATATTAATTTTATAACCTGAGACTTTACTGAATTTATCAGTTCTAGGAGTCTTTTGGTGGAGTCTAGATATAAGATCATATCATCTGCAAACAGGAATAGTTTGACCTCCTCTTTCCTGATTTTGGATGCCTTTTATTTCTTTCTCTTGCCTGATTGCTTTGCCTAGGACTTCCAGTACTATGTTGAATAGAAGTAGTGACAGTGGGCACCCTTGTCTTGTTCTAGTTCTTAGGGGGAATGCTT